AGGCGCATATCTCGAAAACGGAGAAAGTTACAAAAAAGTTGTCAACTACAAAAATGAAGCACTAGTTCTGTTTAGTATAGTCTGAAATTTTAGCAAAATCTGATTACGGTTAGGCCCTTTTGTGTTCATTGAAAGGTGCAGTAAAATTCAAAAATTTCGAATTTCCCACTGTAACTTGTCCGAGAGGAGTACAAAACTAGACGTTGGTTTTTTTGTGTTTCTAGGTCGAAAAGCTAGTTATTTGATAACATAAAAAATTGGAAACTTCGAGATTTTTTGTTCTACAGTAATCCCTTCAAAATTTCCAGCCTCGGCGCACTGGTCTCTTCGGAATCAACTGGAATTTTGTGGAACAACGAAATGGACGATTTTTCGACACCCGGGCATCCAAACTTTTTTGGTTTTCCCCCTTCGCCAGCAAACTTTATTCGCCCCGGAAAACGGCCGATGAGCAGTCAGAGTCCGTTGGTGAGTTTTGTAGTCCACGAGGACAAGCGAAAAGTACCAATTGGAAAATTTCGAGTTTTAAAACCCTTATAAGGCCCTAGAAACCCTAAAAAATGCTTAAAAAACTAATTTTCAATTTTTTACTCCTCTCGGACAAGTGTCAAAAAGAAATTTGAATTTTCAAGCCCCGAAACCTCGAATTTTCTGTTTTTCGAGCATTCAACCACGTGGAAAGTTAGTAGAAACCTCTAAAAAGCTTCAGGTGACCTAGAAATCTAAAAATTCTCATTTTCTAGGTCATCTTCAACACCAACGGACAGGAGCTGATGGCGGTGGGCGGAGCCGGAGGGTCCACGATTATTTCTGGCGTCGCTGGCGTTGCACTTCACGCTCTATGGCTGAAAGCTGACGTCAAACAAGCTGTAGATGCTCCCCGGATGCATAATCAGCTGCAGGTTAGTTGCAAATGCGCTCTATTGAGAATTTCCCGTTTTTAGGCTTTTTAGGCTGAAAAAACGCTCCACAGCTAAATTTTTCGTACTTATAGGTTTTTTGGTGCGCTCTTTCTTTTTTTTATACTTTCCAATGCTGCAAATACGCTCTAAACCCAATTTTTCAATTTTTTCAGCCAAACTACACATGGTACGAGCCAAACTTCCCAAAAGCCTATGTAAAGTCACTCATTGATCGCGGACATACGATGAAAGCTGTGAATAATCTGACGGTTGTCACTGCTGCCGAACGACTCGCCGATGGACAAATTTATGCGAATTCCGATTTTCGAAAAGGCGAAGAATCGGCGCCGGCTGGTTATTAGCGGGTTCTTTTGTAGTTTTTTATCTTTGTTTTTTGTAATAAATGAGGTACAAATACAAATTTTCGTTGAATACAAGTTTTTAAAACCTTTATTTCATACATTTAAACTTCGTAAAACACCAAAACGAAAAATTGCATTCAAATACGCGCCAAAATGCTATCGAGAGGGACGAGTGTGCTCGCTCTTCCGCGCCCCCGTGTACTCCTCGAGGAGAAGAAGAAAATAATTCATTTTCGTGGTTTTCCAGCCTATTTTTCGTCGTTTCCGGGCTAGATTTCCGGTTTTTCCTAGTAAAAATAGCGAAAAAATTCACAAGTAATTAATTTCAGACTGAAAATAATATAAACTAAAAATCTGAAAAAGAAAAATCAATTTTTTAGAAAAAAAATTTTTTCAAGGTTTTCGAAGAAATTATCATTTGTTATTGCTGTATTTTTAGATGAATTTAGATAATAAAATAGTGATTTTTGCTATGTTTTGTCTTTTTTTTTCGAATTTTCCCTTTTCAGCTAAAAAATCCAGAAAATGGGCAAATTCCGCAACCAAAAGAAGAATTTGGTGCGTAACAAGGTGGCGATTGCCGTCGGAAAAGCCAAACAGATGAAGGCAGCAGCCAGAAGAGCGAAAAAGGACGGCGAGGATGTTCAGATGACGTCAGAGGCTCCAGAAGAGGTGCCACGTGTCCGCGGGCTCGCCGTGTCGTCATTGGTGAGTTAAAACGGAGTTTTCATTTGGAAAATGTGTTTTCTTCAGAAAAAATTGGCGGCCGGAGAGCTGAAAAATGTGCCAAAAGTCAACGAGAAGAAGATCATCCGAAAGACAGAGTTGCCAGTGAGAGAGGGGTAAGAAATTGTTTCTTATACTGGGAAATATGGGTTTTTCGCAGAAATTTCGCGAAAATCCCTATTTTTTGGCCTAATTTATCCCAGAAACTCGAAAAAGTTGGAAAAATTCCATTTTTTGCAGAAAGAAGATTCTGGAAGCTCCAACCGGCAAACGTGGCACCACTGCACAGTACATTACGAAGAAGAAGGCGAAGAAGATGTACAAAAAGATGACGCACGACGCTCGGGAGAATTTCAGAAAAATGCAAGAGGAGCTGGCTGGAAACGATGGCGAGGAGGAGGAGGAAGAAGACGTCGAGATGGCCGAATAATTATTGATTTTTTTTAAATTTTCGCTTTTTTTTGTTGATTTTGTCGTTATTTGTGAAAAAATTGAATTTTTAAAACCATTTTTTCCAGCAATTTTCAGGGAAATTTTCAAGGGAAAATCAACCGAAGACGTCTGAATTCGAGGCTCTGGGACGTTTCAGGACCACACGTTTCAGAACCACGACATTTCAGAACCCGACGTTTCAGAACTTTTCTGCATTCTTGTATAGTGGTTTTTGAGTACCAAATAAGCATTGCTCATTTCAATTTTGTGCTTTCCTGCTTTCTTATTCGTTCTCATCTACCGTACTCCAAATCGTGATACGTTCACACTCGGAATCTCTCAAAAAATCAAAAAATTGAAATTTTCCAAAACGATGTCTAGAAGTACGCAAAAATTTTTCCGGCGAACATTAGTCTCATTTTTGCGTATTTTTTTACGCAAAATTGAAATGAGCAATGCTCATTTGGTGTGCAAAAACCACTATACAAGAATGCAGAAAAGTTCTGAAACGTCGTGGTTCTGAAACGTCCCGGAGCCGAATTCGACCGCTCAAAAAAAGAGAAAAAAAATCGAAAAATCGCTATAAAAAAGACAAAAAAAAGATTTATTCAGAGAAATTCTTAGAAAAAAAAAATTTATCGAAAAATTCAACTTTTTTCCAGCTCAAACATTCGAAATGAAAATGCCAATTTTCTTTCCATTATTGAGCACTCGACCTCTCGCCTTGCTCAGCTCTTCCTTCATTTCCACAATTTCTCGTTGCAAATTTGAAATTATGTTATATAGTCTGTAATAATTGTGATTTTTGACAGAAAAAAAAACTAGAAAATTTGGGAAAAAATAGTGTAAAAATTTCAAAATTCCCGCCAAAACAAAAAATTCTCAGTAGAGCGCACTTACCGACTGCTGTCCCCAAATCCAGCAGATTTTTTATTCTGCTCCTCTTGCTCATTTTTCCGCTGCTCACTTCTCCATCTCTCCATTTCTTTGACCATTGAATCGATGTCGTCCTGGAAAAAATTTAAAAATCTAAAATTCTGGAATTTAAAAAAAAATGGGTCATGACCTAGAAAAATTGGGCCATGACCTAGAAAAATTGGGTCATGACCTAGAAAACATCTAGGTCATGACCCAAAAAAATCTAGGTCATGACCTAGAAAAATTGGGTCACGACCTAGAAAAATCTAGGTCATGATCTAGAAAAATTGGGTCATGACCTAAGAAATTTGAAATCTTTATTTTTTGGATTTCTGAGATTCGCAATTTTATAATTTTGAAAATTCAAAAAAAAATCTGAAATTCCAGTAAACTCGAAAATTTCCAGAAATTTTTCCAAAAAATTTCAGATTTCAAATTTTCAAGGATTCCTAATTCTGAAAAAAAGTTTTGAACCCACATTAGCAAAATCAAAAAGTCTGGCCAACGGATACGCGGACCGTGTCAAATCCTGCAGTTTCTCCTGTAGTTGTCTTACTTTCTCCCTCTCTACAGTAATCCCCTTATCCGAATCCTCATCCATTTGATCTACCGTATTCCTACTATCCTCAATTCCAGCCTTCGTTTCCATTATCTTCTGAACCAATGCTCCTCGATCCTCTTTGTTTATTACATCTGCCGCGATTCTTGGCGTTTTTTCCAAATCATCTTCCTCATTTTCCATTATAAATGCGTCTTCAGCATTCTCGAGAATCGGCCCCGAGTCGGTGATAATTTCCGATTTCAACTCGATTTGCTGTAAAATCCAAATTATCAGGGTCACTGTAAGAGATATCAATAAGTGGTTAACTGATAAAATGTGTATCATGAGATCAGAAACATTTTATCAGTTGACAACTTTTTGATATCTCCAACAGGAACCGAGATAATTAGGGTCAAAGTGGAAAGTGAGAGGCGGGGGGGGGGGTGGTTATTAGTGTTAACTGTTATTGAACTTTGAGCTCAGTTATCTCGCTTCTTGTCAATGATATCAAAAAGTGGTCAACTAGCAAAATGTTATTGATATTATGATAAACATTTTTCCAGTTGACCACTTTTCGATATCTTTTACAGGAACCAAGATAATTAAGGTTAACAATGACCGTACTATTTAGGGCGCATGCGACCGTTTAGCTCACCCGTACCAACAAAAAGTTGGGACAAAATATATATATTAGGTAGCCCTTGAAAAACTCTATACTTTGATATAAATATCAATCAAAAATCATGATTTCAAGGAGAGTTATGATCCAAACCTGCTGCGGTGTCGCATCCATCGTCGCAATCTGTTTCTTTTTCAATTTTGGCGGGGCTGGCCGCGAGGCGGCCGTCCCCGGTCGACCCATTGACGTCATGGGCCGTCCGCCAGCAGCTCCGGTAGTTGGTCTGAAAGTGTGTATTATGCATTTGTGCTCTATTGATAATTTTTTTGGAAAAAAAATCGCGGCCGGCTACTGTTAACAAACCGCATTTTCTCGGCTACATTGTTAGGCTCAATTATCTCACTTCCTATAAGAGATATCAAAATTGTGTCAACTAATAAAATGTTTACCATAAAATGGAAAATATTTTATCAGTTGACAACTTTTTATGATCTATTATAGGAACCGAGATAATTGAGCTGAAAGTTTAAGTACCATAAACATTCCAATAGAATACCCCTCTAATTTTCAAGCAAGTTTATCTCGGTTCCTATAAGAGATATCAAAAAGTAGTCAACTGATATAATGTTACTGATAGTGATATGAACATTTTATCAGTTTCCAACTTTTTGATATCTCTTTCAGGAACCGAGATATATGAGCTTAACGTGTGCAAGTATAGGGTGCGGAGCCGACCGCGTAGATATGCTTGCTTTAAGCTCAATTATCTCTTTTTTTCAAAATATATCAAAAAGTGGTCAACTGATAAAATGTTTATCATACTTTGACAAGCATTTTATCAGTGTTTTTGATATCTCTCATTGGAGCCGAGATAATTGAGCTCAAAGAGGGAGCCACTTAATTTTCGCCTTTCGGCAGCCCCGCTTTACAGGTCAAATTTTGCCGGGATTTTCGAAGTTTCACTTACCGTATAGCCATATCAGTGTACTTGACAAGTACAGGAGGTGTTTCCTCTTCAACCGCAACCACCGGCTCGTCGCTTTTTTCGTTAACTGGAATGCTTAAAGTGTCCTCTTTATCATCGTAACCGTCGTCTGGCAACTCTTCATGATTATTCACGTCTCCGTTGGAAGTGATCATTGAATCTTGACGGACCAGAACCTTTTCAGATTTCTCGGTTTTCTCTTTTTCCGATTTCTCTAATTTTGACTTTTTGGGTTTCGAATCATCAGACTTCTTCTCCTTTTTCTCCTTCTTCTCTGATGACTTGTGACGATCCTTGGAGGACGATTTCTTCTTTTTTTCGTCCTTTTCGTTTTCTTTGTTTTCCTGGAATTGTTATTTTGAGGGATTCTTCTTTTTTCTCGAGATTCCCAATTTCGGGTTTTTCGATTTTTGAGAATATTTTAATTTTGAACTTTTTGGAATAAAAATTAGAAAAATTAGAAAAACTTGAACTTTCAAAACATATTTTTGAAGAATTTCGCGATTTTTGTGAATTTTGAAAATTTCTAAATTTTAAAGATTTTTTGTGAAAAAATTTAATTTTTGTCAGAAACTTTAGAGCTGTCTCTGATTTTTGGAATAATTAATACCGTAAAAACTGTATTAGAAGGGCCGGCCCTTCTATTGTTCCAAGGTACCTCCGGAGGGCCCTTCAATTAGAGGGGGCCCTTCTATTTTTCCAAGGTACCTTCGGAGGGCCCTTCTATTACAGGGGCCCTCCAATTAGAGGAGGTCCTTCTATTGTTCCAAGGTACCTCCGGAGGGCCCTTCTATTAGAGGGGCCCTTCAATTAGAGGGGGTCCTTCTATTTTTCCAAGGTACCTCCGGAGGGCCCCTCTATTACAGGGGCCCTTCAATTAGAGGGGCCCTTCTATTACACGGACCCTTCAATTACAGGGGGTCCTTCTATTTTTCCAAGGTACCTCTGGAGGGCCCTTTTATTAGAGGGGCCCTTCTAATCAAGGGGCCCTTTTAATACAGGTTTTTTAGGATCTTCGGAATTCGGGTTTTTTGCATTTTCGAAAATTTTCGAGTTTTCTAAACTTTGGATTTTTGATAGATTCTCACTGGAATTTCAGATTTTCGGTTCTTTGGATTTTTTTTTTAATTTTCAAATTTTTTAAAATTTGTTCCAAATTTTCGGAAAAAAAACCTCGAAATTTCAGAATTTTGAAATTTAAAAGACTTTTTGGAAATTCTTTTTTTTTGGATTTTTTAAACTTTTAAAATGTTCGAATGTTTGGATTTTTGGATTTCCCAAAATTTCAAAATTTTCTGAATTTTTTTAATTTTCTACTCACACTCCGACTGCTTCGTTTCTTTGGTTTTTCCTCGGATTTCTCGGATTTCTCCTTCTTCTTTTCTTCTTCTTTTACGTCATTTTTCTCCTCCTTTTTCGACGATTTCTTCTTTTTCGACCCACTTTCAGATCCCGATTTTTCCGATTTTTTCGCATTATTTCCCAGAATTTGGAGCATCTGAAAATTTGAGAATTACCGTAAAACCTGTATTAGAAGAGCCGGCCTTTTTATTTTCTAAGGTACCTCCGGAGGGCGCTTCTATTAGAGGGGCCCTTCAATTAGAGGGGCTCTTCTATTACAGGGGCCCTTCTATTACAGGGGCCTTTCTATTACAGGGGCCCTTCTATTACAGGGCCCCTTCTATTAGAGGGTCCCTTCTATTACACGGCCCTTCTAATACATGTCTTAAGGTAGTTAAATTAGGGAAATTGGTTAGATAATTATTCAGATTACAAATTTTTGGAAGAGGCAAAAAATTAAAATTTTGAAAAAATTGCTTTTGAACTAAAATGTTTGATTACCCCTAATTACTTTTAATTACCCCAATTGATCGATTTTCTCAAAAATTACCTTATTAGTCTCTACTGGCTCCATTCCAGACATGATTTTCGACGCTTTCACATTTTTCAAACTTCCGTCGTCCAGAATTTTTATCAATTTCTCCAAAAATGCCGATTTCGAATCTTTGTCCTTTCCGGCTGATTGAATTTCTTCTTTTGAGAAGTCGTTCTGAAAAAAAGGGAGTTTTATGAAATTTTTGTAAATTTTGAAAAATTCAGAAAATCAGAAATTCAGAAATTCAGAAATTCAGAAATTCAGAAATTCAGAAATTCAGAAATTCAGAAATTCAAAAATTCAGAAAATCAGAAATTCAGAAAATCAGAAGTTCAGAAATTCAGAAATTCAGAAATTCAGAAATTCAGAAATTCAAAACTCAGAAATTCAGAAATTCAGAAATTCAGAAAATCAGAAATTCAGAAAATCAGAAATTCAGAAATTCAGAAATTCAGAAATTCAGAAATTCAAAAATTCAGAAAATCAGAAATTCAGAAAATCAGAAGTTCAGAAATTCAGAAATTCAAAACTCAGAAATTCAGAAATTCAGAAATTCAGAAATTCAGAAATTCAGAAATTCAGAAATTCAGAAATTCAAAACTCAGAAATTCAGAAATTCAGAAATTCAGAAAATCAGAAATTCAAAAATTCAGAAATTCAGAAATTCAGAAATTCAGAAATTCAGAAATTCAAAACTCAGAAATTCAGAAATTCAGAAATTCAAAAATTCAGAAATTCAGAAATTCAGAAATTCAGAAGTTCAGAAATTCAGAAATTCAGAAATTGGGAAATTGGGAAATTCAGAAATTCAGAAATTCAGAAATTCAGGACTAAAAAACTTAAAAATCTGAAAATCTTTAAAAATCAAAATTTATAAAATTTATAAAATTTTCCAAAATTTCTTCAGAAATCTAATTTTCAATTCGTAAACTCAGAATTCTCCAAGAAATTTCAATAATTCTAAAAATTTTAAAGGTGGGGGGACAGGAGATTTTACGGGGGATTTTTGGGGCCAGAGTATGCATTCTACCGTCGCGGTGTACAACGCTTAATGTCACTCTGCGTACAGCTGTCGTCCTCGCCTTTATGTATGCAATCGGGCGTGCGCTTTCTTTTTGCCCGTGTAGCTCAGTCGGTAGCGGCACCGCACCCTCAATCCTCGTCTCACACGTTCAACTCCTCGAGAGGCATATTTAAACGAAATTTCGAGAACATTATTTTTTTCAGTCCCCCCACCTTTAAAAAATTAAGAATTCCGAAATTTTGCGCATGCATATAAATAGTCTAAAAAAATTTTCAAAAATTTGCCACCTGGTGGAATCGAACCCGGATGTCTAGATTGGTAAATTTGGGATCCACTGAGCCAAATGTGCAATTTTTCGAAAATGAGCGGAAACTTGATTTTCAGCGTTTCCAGGGGGTTTTAGTTAATTTCAAATGCATTTAGAGCTTATTTTTGAGTCTGAAAGCACTGGGAACGCATCAAATTCCAGTTTCGACCGCATTTTTGAAGTTAAAAACCTAAAAATCAATTTTCGGCACCTAAACTCAATTTTCGAGAGTTCCAACCACTTTTTAACGCTCCAAACAGCATGAAAATGGTCCAAAACGAATTTTCCAAGAATTTTTCACCGGAGGGAATCGAACCCGGACCTTGAGATTGGTAAATTCGGGACCCACTGAGGCAAATGTGCAATTTTCGAAAATGAGCGAAAACTTGATTTTTAGGGTTTCCAGGGGGTTTTGAAGAGTTCAGAGCGTATTTTTGAGGTCTAAAAGGGCTTCTAGACCATTTTCAAGGGTAAAAATACACATTTCTAGCTGAAATGTCGTCATTTTTGAGCTAAGAAAAAGTCTCGAGATTTCGAATTTCAGAAAATCCAAAATTCTATATTTTTCAAAATTAAAAAAATTACAATTCTTTTTTAAACCACTGTCTTACCTTCAAATACCCAGTCGCTTCGATAACATTGCTCACAATATCGACAATAAATTTGAATGGGGGTCTTTCCAAAAGAGCAATTGTGATTTTCGGCTTCTCAATGATTTTTTCCAGAACTTTTTTCGTTTTTTCCATTGTTGTACTTGCCATATTTACCCCTAAAAAGTTAAAATTCGGAGCTTGTTAATTCGATAATTCTTTGAAAATTCCAATTGTAGATTCCAAAAATTTTGAAAGTCTGAAATAATCTGAAATTCGAAAATCTCCGTAATTGAAAAAATTGAAAAACGGATTTTTCAAAAATTTCAATTTTTCCGAAAATCTAAAATCCAAAATTCAAACTTTCAATTACATAACTTTTTTTTTCAAATTCCAGAATCTTAGAAAAATTTCGAAGTCTTAAATTTTTAAACCATATTTTTGAAAGTCAGGATTTTTGAAAATTTTCGGAAAATTCAGAAATTTGTTCTAATTAGAAATCATAAACAATCTGGGATTCGAGACTCCCGTAATTATAAAAACCAAAAAAACTGATTTTTCAAAAATTCAAAATTTTCCGAAAATCCAAAATTCAAAATTCAAAGTTCCAATTACATAATTTCTTTTTCAAAATTTCAACTTTCTTTTCAAATTCCAGAATCTTAGAAAAATGTTGAAATCTGAAACGTTTTAGTTATTTAAAAAACTAATAAGGCGAGAAACTGAAAATGTGGAGAATAAGAAAAATGGAAGGAGCAAGAGCTCGCGGAGCCCCGGAAAATGCGCTCTCCGTTTCCAGGGAAACCAAAAGGAACCAAAAGAAGGAAATAGTGTGAGAAGGGAAGAGAGTGGCTAGAGAAACGATAGGAAATTCTGAGGAGCTCGTGGAGGTGTGCAGCTGGATGACGTAGAAGTGTTCTGTGACACCTGAAAATCTCGGAGACGGCGCTCGTGTCGATTTACGAGGGGGCGGAGCGAAAACGGATACTGTAGATAACACATTTATTTATGTGAATTCAGTGGGATTTTATGAACAAAATTTAGATTTCTCGGTATAAAAATGATCGCTAGCATCTCTAGAATCTATTTTTCAGCAAAAAAAAAACTAAATTTAAACGCGTAAGTAGCTCGAACGAGCCCAAAATCTGAAATATTACGTTTTTGCCGCGCTTTTTCGTAGATCAAAAAAAGCAAAAGTTTTTAAATTCTCAGGTCCCAGTTTTTTAAATTTGACAATATGTCGAAAAACAGTGATTCAAATAGTTCAACATCGAAAGAGGACAGTGAATTATGAGTTATTTCGCATTGTTCTGGATTAAAAAAAGGGCAAGAAAATTATGAGAAATTGATAAGAACTCACAAAAAAATGTTTTTTTGAAAAATTCTAAAAATTTCAAAAAATTAAAATAGGAAAAAATCCAAAAATTCTAATTATTTGAAAAATTTGAAAATTTCTAAAAAATCAAACTTTTTCCAAAACTCTGAAAAATCAAAAATTAAAATTTTTGTGAAAAATCTGAAAAATTTAAAATTCTATAGATTGAAAAAAAGAACGAGAATTCTGAAATCTCAATTTCTTGTAAATTTGTAAAATTCAAATTTTTGTAAAACAATTTCTTTCAATCAGCAGTTTCTACATTTTTTTTTTGGAATTACGAATTTTCAAATTTTCAATGTCCCAAAAGAAAAACAAGTACGTATATTACACAAGCTTCATAAGCAGAGAGTCATCATCTCCAAGAAAAAATCAATAATCGATTATTACATAGTACAACAAAAGATCACACAGAATGAGAGAGGGAGGGGAGAAAAGAAAGAAAGAGAGAGAGAGAGAGAGAGCACACAGGTACGGTGGGGGGACAAGATGGGGCAATATATATATATAAATCGAGACAAAAAAGAATGTTCCAGTAAATTATTACAGAATGAGAGAAAATATATAGAGATAGAATAAATGTGATAGAAAATTATTAAATTTGGCAAGATTTTCAAAAAACACAAGAAACAAGAATACCGGTAAAATGAGGCGGGGAAAAAAGGGGGCGGGGCTTAAATGGCAAAACTCGTGGGCTAACAGGAAAACTCGTATTTTTATGGAAAATTTGGGGGAAAACTAGCAGAATTTGGACCTAGAAAAGTGGGAATTTTTAGAAATTTTTGAGGAAAAATAGGATTTCATAGAGCCCGAAAAGTGACTGAAAATCGCAGGTTTTTGACCTCAAAAAAGGGATTTTTTTCGAATTCCAAAATTTCAAGCTAAAAATGATCTAAAAATTCGGATTATTTCTAGCTAGAAAAATCGATTTTCAGTTAAAAAAACCGCCAAAATCGACTTTCGGCTCATTTTTGCTATTTTCAATTAGAAAAATCGTGAAAAATCGATTTTTTCAGCTCATTTCAGCTCTAAAACTCCCAAAAATAGGATTTTAGAGCCAAAAATTGACTGAAAATCGCAACTTTTGAGCATAAAAATGACTAAAATTTTGAAAATTTTTTTTCAAAGGTTATTTTTAGCTGAAAATTCGATTTCTTGTATCAAAAAAAAAAATCGATGAAAATCTCAATTTCTGTCATTTTTCAACCGAAAAAAAAGAGCGATTTTTGTCGATTTTCTGGCGGAAAAATCATAATTTTTCAGCTAATTTCATCTCTAAAACCCCAATTTTTCTCAAAAATCCTCAAATAACAACGAAAAATCTACAAAAGTATCAAAAATCTAGAAAGCGTCTTCTAAACAACATCCGACGGCACGATTCCATAAATATCCGAATACAGTTGTGACGAATCGTCGTTCGGCGGTAACGGAAGACGTGACGGTAGGGATGAGTGTAGAAGTGTCCAGAATAAATGACTTCGCATTTCGATTCTCGTGTGTTTTCGTAGAATTTGACCGAGCTCGTCGTCCAAAAGATTCGCGTCCACACCGTCGCCCAGCACGGCGATTACTCGTTTCGATCGATTTTTGGCGAATAGTTGATGGGAGGTCTGGAAAAAAATGGAAGGAATTATTGGGAGAATTGAGAGTAAGGCTTCCACTCTGTCGGGAAATTTAGCCGACCGACCGTTTTCGTGCATTTTCGCGTCAACGTGTTTGCATACGCAACATTGTATTTTACGACAAACTATTCACTAAATGCGGACCGAAAAGGAAGCCCTAATTGCAGGATTTTCGGAAATCTGAGGAATCGATTTTTTTTAATTTTAAAAAATTCTGGAAACTCAAAAAAATCCGAAACTCTCAAAATTGAAAATATGTCGGGAATTTCTGACGATTTTCGGCTCAAAGTTTTGAAATGTTGAATTTTGTAAAATTTTGAAATTTAAAAAAAACTTAGAAAATCCAAAATTTTAAAAATTCAATGGAACCCAAAGGAATCGAACTTTTGCCTGAAGCACCTCACTCTGCACAACAACTCGTTTGAAGATGTCCCTCGAGTGATATCGTCTCTCTCCAAAATCTCGCTCTCCGGAAACCCGCTGAGATGTGATTGCTCGGCGAAAGATGAGCAATATCGTCATAGCGCTGGCTCCGCGCACCAACAACCGTTTTGGGAGCACAACGCGGCGGAATGGTTTGCGCAGCATCGCGAGCTGGTCGTCGATTTTCAGGCAGTCGAGTGTTGGGAAAATGTGACGAAGGCTTTTCTGACGAACGATACGACGGTCCTGTCGGCGTATCCGCCCAACGTGGGACCCGATGTTTTTGTGATGCGG